GTCACATCTGATGGTTTTCTTTTCTGTCTCTTCAGGTGTTGATGGTCAGACTCTGACACAATCTGAAGCAGTGGTTAAAAGTCCTGGAGAATCCCACAGACTGACCTGTTCAGCCTCTGGATTCACATTCAGAGGCTATAAGATGAGCTTGGTCAGACAGGCTCCTGGAAAAGGACTGGAGTGGATTGCCTTTATAAGCACATCCAGTACACCAATCTCGTACTCCTCGTCAGTCCAGAGCAGATTCCTTGCTACTAATGTTTGCAGACTTTACAAAACACTACTTCTATTTTTATTCAATGCAGCTGATTATATTCTTTGTATCTGTTTGGAGAAACTGTGTCTACATTTGGTTTGAACTCCAAACATACAGTAGAGATCAACACGTGGACAAAACATGTAAAGATTTAAAATATTCCACATGATATGAAGATAGTACATCAACATTATTAATGAGTAATTATATATAATCACATCCACACAATATGAATTAACATAAGAAGAGTAGAAAAGCTCTTTCTAATAGCATTTCCTTATCATCTCTTTTTATTGATTGTTGCTGCTCTCTTTGATAAGATTAATCCTAAAATGAATGAAACCAGTTATTAGTAAACACTTTCAACCAATCTGATCCTACAGTACGATCACATATATTATATCTGTTATCATATGTAAAGCAGAGATGATTTCCAGTCATCTTTTCACTCTGCAGATATAAAAACAGTGAACAGACTCTCCTATTGGCTCCAGTCAGACCATCATTGATGCTTCATATGTTTGATTGTATGCAAACTCAGTGAGCTTCCTTGTTACTCAGCTATAAAAACTTCCCATCAGGCCGTCAGTGGAGTTCACAGCACGTCACTTTCAACATCAACCATGTTTTCTGTAGCTCTGCTGCTGCTGCTGGCAGCTGGATGTGAGTCTGTCTGCATCTGTCAAAGTCAACAGTTCTTTTTCTGCAGTTTAACTTGATCATTTCTAACTAAACATGTTCTCTTTTTAACAGGTGTGAAGTGTGAACAGTTGACACAGCCAGCCTCTGTGACTGTGCAGCCAGGTCAGAGTCTGACCATCACCTGTCAGGTCTCTTATTCTGTTAGCAGCTACTACACAGCCTGGATCAGACAGCCTGCAGGGAAAGGACTGGAGTGGATTGGATTGAGATACACTGGAGACACTTACTACAAAGATTCACTGAAGAACCAGTTCAGTATCGACTTAGACGCCTCCAGAAACAGAGTGACTCTAAACGGACTGAATATGCAGCCTGCAGACACTGCAGTGTATTACTGTGCCAGAGACCCACAGTGACACAATCCATCAGTAGAGCTGAACAAAAACCCCTCAGAGACTGAACACCAGTAACATGAAGCCACCAGAGGAGGAGCCCTCACACCAATAATGATTAACACCAAGCACTGAACCAGGGGAACAGAGCCTTTTCCATTGCTGCCCCTCTCCCTCTGGATCTCTCTCCCCAAACACACCTGAGACTTTACGGACCTGCCACAATTCAAATCACTGATAGAAACATTATAAACACTGCTTTAGATTGCTAATGTTTCTTTTTGTACCATTGTTTAAAAGTGTTTTTCTTTAAATGAGACTCTGTAAAACAAATAAATCAAATGTATTATAATTATTTTTATACATATTAAACACCAGTTCACTTTTACAGTAAGGAGAAAAACAGCTGTAAGACATTATGAAAATACCTTTGTTTTCAAAAGAATAACTCAGAATAATCAGGATCACATTCACATTAGTAACTGTGAGATTTTAATACCACTGTTGTTCTCTGATACCCTGAGACCTTGTGACAAAATCCTCCATGAATGTTGAGAACAGAAGACACCATCAAAGAACATGATGGGGATTAACTTCCTGTTAGATGTGAATATTTTTGGTACATGTGATCACAGATGTTACTGTATGTTCCCGAACTGTCAAAAAGTGGAGCTGTGTGTAATTCTGCTTTGTGTTCTCACTGATTGGCTGCCTGAGTTGATATACCGAAAAAAATAAACTAACGATGAACAACTTGAAAGGACACTTGTGTTTAGAATTTAATTCCAAAACTAAAGAAGTGATATCGAAATGAAATTACTTTCTTCTATCTCTGAGGAGGAGTCAATGCAAATCTCCGATGTGTTCCTCCTCTACTTATGTGAGTGCAGAGAGGACGACAGAGAACAGTGGACACACAGTTGAACATGATGGACTATAGGACAGGACTGCTGCTTTTTACTGTCTGCTGGGCAGGTGATGATCATCACTCATCTTTACTCTAAAAAGTCTTCTAAAAGTGTCACATCTGATGGTTTTCTTTTCTGTCTCTTCAGGTGTTGATGGTCAGACTCTGACAGAATCTGAAGCAGTGGTTAAAAGGCCTGGAGAATCCCACAGACTGACCTGTTCAGCCTCTGGATTCACATTCAGCAGCTACCGTATGAACTGGGTCAGACAGGCTCCTGGAAAAGGACTGGAGTGGATCGCTACTATTAGTAATGGTGGTGGTAGCAGCCAATCCTACTCTAATTCAGTCAAAAGCCGGTTCACCATCTCCAGAGACGACAGCAGACAGCAGCTGTATCTGCAGATGAACAGTCTGAAGACTGCAGACACTGCAGTGTATTACTGTGCCAGAGACCCACAGTGACACAACCCATCAGTAGAGCTGAACAAAAACTACTTCCTCTTTTTACCACCATCACAATATTTCTTGTGATTCACAATCAACTATGAAAATTCTGAGTGTTGAACAAATACTTATCAAGTCATCAACATCAATTGTTTTTTTAAAACACAGTTTCTCAATAATGGAAGTTTAAGTTTTAGCCCCCTCTTACTTCAGTGACATGGAAGAAACATTCAAATTGTGAATGTAGACAAGAACTAATTAATATAAAATATATAGAGCAGCAGTTAAATCTACAGCATCTCTATGATACATCCTAGAAGTAATCATTCTGTAGTGAACTATTTAGATGTGCATGCTTGGGGAATGTAAACTGCAGTTAGAAGCAGGGCCGTCCCTGGCCAAATTGGGGCCCTAAGCAGAATTTTATTTTGAGGGCCCCCCCATCACAACATGACTGTATCACGAAATGCCATTTAGGTGTACAACCTTTATTAGTCGGAAGAAATCAAATGAATAGCCTCTATCAACAATGGAACAGGCCTTTTACAGATGCACACGTCTGCATTTTCTGGATGCAAAGTCATCAATGAGGTCATCATATGACAGCTGCTGTGCCTTAAAAGGCCCTCGGCGCACAAATTCAACCCGGTCGATGTCTGATAGGTGTGCTGGCCACAGAGCAGGATCAACTGGTTGTGCACTTGGAGTAGTGATAGTAGCATATTTAGCTGAAGAGATGTTGCTTGATGGCCCTGGTGATATGTTGGGTGCTGCTGCATTTGTATCTGTTGACATGGTGCTTGATGGCCCTTGTGACGTACTGGGCGCTGGCTCCGTGTCACCCTTAGTAACAAACTTCAGCATTGACGCTGTTATGACAAGAAATCCATCATACAAGCAGATTATTAAGATTTGTTTTGGTCTTCATGGTAAATTACACAATGAAATTAATGTAAATACTAGCCTCACAAAGATTAAAATGCAATTAATGCAAATTAATGCAGCTATGCAACAGGTTGGATCAGACAGCGTGAAGGGAAACCGATGGACTGGATCTCTCATCAGTGGGGTGGTGGAAACTTGTATCAAAATAATGCTCTGAAGAACAAGTTCAGCTACAGCAGAGACACGTCTGCTGGAACAGTGACTCTTACAGGACAGAGTCTGCAGCCTGAAGACACTGCTGTGTATTACTGTGTGAGAGACCCACAGTGAGAGACAATAACAGGAGAGTCGTACAAAAACTACTTCCTCTGTTTACAACCATCACCGGGAACATTCAGCTGTCTCAACATCAAATTATAAAAAATGTTTGTGAATATGTGTCAGAAATACAAAAATCAAAATGTGATTGACTCAATATCAGACTCCTACATCATGGTCCGGAGTTATTACTGGACTGTGATTGGCCGCAGGGTGTCAAATAATTTCTAACTTTGACAGTTTCTTCTCCAAGTTGTCTGTGAGTTCATGATAATGGACATTTTGTTTAACAATTCTTAAACACACTCAGATGCAGAGGAAAGTCCAGGACACAAAAAACTGATAGTAAGAAAAAGTTTTCTACTCAAATGTTTGTAGGTCAAACACAGAGAGGCAGTCAGCGAGGGCAGAAAAATCCAACGAGGGCAAATCCACAAAATCCAAACAAAGTTCAAAACCGGGAAAAGCAAACAGGGAAAATAAGGCTGGAAAGCATGAACACACTCAGGAGACGATGACAATCTGTCAGAGGGCTGGTAGAAACACAGGGGTGAATATACAGGGCAGACTTATTGCAGGTGAGACACAGGTGTGTTGGGACAAAAGGAGGGAAACCAAACAATTGCAGGAAGATGGGCTACATATTATTCACAAGCAGCAGATAACAACATAAAACAGGAAGTGAACACAGAACAAAAGAAAACAAAATGGCTGGACTAACAGAATATCACAAATTTTGATAAAGAAGCTGCAGAATTATCCAGTTAGCTTACAGGTGTATTTCAGTTTACTGGAACAGCAGACGCAATTATTCCTGAGCATCGGCTGACAGCATGTTTAAAGGAGGGTCACTACACACACACACACACACAAACACACACACACACACACACACACACACACGGATGGATGTGAAAAAAACACGGAAAATCAAATCTGATCTGAAAGAAATAATGACGGACGAAAGTTTCAGAGTCACTCTGCAGATATAAAAACAGTGAACAGACTCTCCTATTGGCTCCAGTCAGACCATCATTGATGCTTCATATGTTTGATTGTATGCAAACTCAGTGAGCTTCCTTGTTACTCAGCTATAAAAACTTCCCATCAGGCCGTCAGTGGAGTTCACAGCACGTCACTTTCAACATCAACCATGTTTTCTGTAGCTCTGCTGCTGCTGCTGGCAGCTGGATGTGAGTCTGTCTGCATCTGTCAAAGTCAACAGTTCTTCTTCTGCAGTTTAACTTGATCATTTCTAACTAAACATGTTCTCTTTTTAACAGGTGTGAAGTGTGAACAGTTGACACAGCCAGCCTCTGTGACTGTGCAGCCAGGTCAGAGTCTGACCATCACCTGTCAGGTCTCTTATTCTGTTAGTGGCTACTGGACAGCCTGGATCAGACAGCCTGCAGGGAAAGGACTGGAGTGGATCGGTAGCGGAGCTGGATCCACCAGATTCTACAAAGATTCACTGAAGAACCAGTTCAGTATCGACTTAGACGCCTCTAACAACAGAGTGACTCTAAACGGACTGAATATGCAGCCTGCAGACACTGCAGTGTATTACTGTGCCAGAGACCCACAGTGACACAATCCATCAGTAGAGCTGAACAAAAACTACTTCCTCTTTTTACCACCATCACAATATTTCTTGTGATTCACAATCAAATATGAAAATTCTGAGTGTTTAACAAATACTTATCAAGTCATCAACTTCAATTGTTTTTTTAAAAACACAGTTTCTCAATAAATGGAAGTTTAAGTTTTAGCCCCCTCTTACTTCAGTGACATGGAAGAAACATTCAAATTGTGAATGTAGACAAGAACTAATTAATATAAAATATATAGAGCAGCAGTTAAATCTACAGCATCTCTATGATACATCCTAGAAGTAATCATTCTGTAGTGAACTTTTTAGATGTGCATGCTTGGGGAATGTAAACTGCAGCAACAAGGAGAGTTTTATAACTTCATGTGTTGAAATCTTACCATGAAAGACTTCTGACATGTGGTTAATAATATCCATCAAGCTTTACTGTTTCTGAGCACCAAGTGTCATTAATGAAAAACACAGTTTCTCCCCTTGTGAACACTTGTTCCTTAAAGCCACCAGAGGAGGAGCTCTCACACAACAAATGATTTCAACTTCATTTGACTGTAACAGTAAAGAGAGAGAGAGAAACAGTCTTAAGGCTTTATTAGATCTTCTAATAAATGTGTCACTTAAATATTGTTTCAATCTCTATATCTGATTAATTGAGAGTTTGAGAGTAATACTCAATTTTACCAGGATTTTAAAATATTTGAATGAACGTAGTCGGCTGATTTACCATCCTGTGTATGTAAATTAGTCTCCTCTTGTTGCCGTATAAGAAAGTCCACTGGGTGTGTTAATGCATCAAGTTCTCACATCAGATCATCTTCATCATCAGTCATGTTCTCTGCAGCTCTGATTCTGCTGCTGAGCGTTGGATCCTGTAAGGATATTTTCACCTGTTTAGAAACAACTCATAATCAGATGAGTGATGGAGATAATGATGATTTGTGTTTCCACAGGTGTGCACTGTATTGATCTCATCACACCAGGATCAATGGTCGTGCAGCCTGGACAGTCTCTGACCCTCACCTGTCAGGTCTCTGGTTACTCTCTGACTGATGACAGCTATGCAACAGGTTGGATCAGACAGCCAGTCTGAAAAGGACTGGAGTGGATTGGAATGAGTTTTGGATCGACCACACTCTACAAAGATTCACTGAAGAATCAGTTCAGTATCAACTTAGACGCCTCCAGAAAAACAACGACTCTAAACGGACTGAATATGCAGCCTGCAGACACTGCAGTGTATTACTGTGCCAGAGAGCCACAGTGACACAATCCATCAGTAGAGCTGAACAAAAACCCTCAGAGCCTGAACACCAGTAACATGAAGCCACCAGAGGAGGAGCCCTCACACCAATAATGATCATATCACAAGTTCAGTGACACAAACAGTCAATAGATAAAGTGAGCAACTGGCAATAAAATGAGGAACTGATGCAAAAAAAGATTTCTAATCCTTTTGGTAGTATGAGATGAAAAGATCATCCATGAGAGGACAAGTCAACCTCACTGTCTTACACCTTTGGGAAACAGACTGCAGAGAGAATGACAAATGTTTAAGTTTCACTGCAGCTTTTGTTTGATCCAAGGTAACAGAGTTCATCTGTGTGACTTTTAAGAAAACACAACAGGTATTCATGGTGTACCCAGATTTAGAAAAAGTGAAATCTCAATGACTTAAATCAAATATATTTGGCTGCTGTTCCAACTCCTGCATCATTGATTACGTATAAAAAAATAAAAATGTCCGATTATCAAGTTAATCTCTGATTTCACTCTACTGGCATGATACAACTGATGACCTTTTAATTTAAAGTATCCAAGACAGAAGTCAAAAGTTATTTCTCTCTGAGGAGGAGTAAATGCAAATCTCTGATGTGTTCCTCCTCTACTTATGTGAGAGCAGAGAGGACGACAGAGAACAGTGGACACACAGTTGAACATGATGGACTATAGGACAGGACTGCTGCTTTTTACTGTCTGCTGGGCAGGTGATGATCATCACTCATCTTTACTCTAAAAAGTCTTCTGAAAGTGTCACATCTGATGGTTTTCTTTTCTGTCTCTTCAGGTGTTGATGGTCAGACTCTGACAGAATCTGAAGCAGTGGTTAAAAGGCCTGGAGAATCCCACAGACTGACCTGTTCAGCCTCTGGATTCACATTCAGCAGCTACTATATGGCTTGGGTCAGACAGGCTCCTGGAAAAGGACTGGAGTGGATTGCTGAAATTAGTAGTGGTAGTGGTAGCATCTACTACTCTAATTCAGTCAAAAGCCGGTTCACCATCTCCAGAGACAACAGCAGACAGCAGGTGTATCTGCAGATGAACAGTCTGAAGACTGAAGACACTGCAGTGTATTACTGTGCCAGAGAGCCACAGTGACACAACCCATCAGTAGAGCTGAACAAAAACTACTTCCTCTTTTTATCACCATCACAATATTTCATGTTATTCACAATCATTTTTGAAAATTCTGAGTGTTGAACAAATACTTATCAAGTCATCAACTTCAATTGTTTTTTTAAAACACAGTTTCTCAATAAATGCAAGTTTAAGTTTTAGCCCCCTCTTACTTCAGTGACATGGAAGACACATTCCACATGATATAAAGATAGTACACCAACATTACTATCAGATTGACTAAAGCTAAACACTCTTGCTGCTCAATACAATTAAATCTGTAGTTAAAACTTTCCCTTCTTCAATATAAGTTGCTTGATTGAGTGATTCTTTGAAACTGAAGTGTGTCTTTGTGTTAATCATGAGCACCGACTGCAGCTCTGTTAATATTTCGATGAACAGTCTGTAAACACTGAAAACTTTTAATCTGTTTTTTTTATACAAACCAGTGTTTAACATTTGAATAAACAGAATATTACCCAGTGGTATGTTGGATTTGCTGACAGTAAACAGTTAATATCAGAAAGACAGTAGGTTGGTTTAAATAATTGTATTAAATAGAATAAATAAAACTTCTGAAGATTAACATCCTTTCTGTTGCTCTTTTGGTTTTCATGGATGCAAACCATCATTATTGCAGTGCTCCATTTCCTCAGAATATTTCACAATATCCATCATTCATTTTAATACTAAGAATAATAACAGATCCTTTTTGTTTCTAAGTTACGTTTTCATTGTTTATTATGATGCTGTTGTCCTCAAGCTTCAATGTTTTACAGTAAAAACCAAATGAACTGATGTTTGGTTTCTTTAAATGATTACAGACCAACTTTGCACTTTAATTAAAATATAAATAAATCAGTGATATTTCTCAGGCATGTTTGTACATGTTTGTATGTATAGACCATCACTGATGTTTCAAATGTTTGATTGTAAGCAAACTCTGACAATCTTTTCTGGGGGTATCAAGATGATGAGTGATTGGACCCCAAATGATTCCACGCACAGCTCAAAAGGATAATTTTAGAATCAATGTGTTTATATTGGTGAACAACATTCACTTTCGTTTGTATTGAGTATTAGATTTTGGTCCACACCAGAAGATTCCATGTTTGTTTTGTTTAATTTATTTTTACTTTTTAACATTGGAAGGTAAAAGTTAGACATTGTTTTCAGTTTGGGAAGTTGTTGATCCATCTAATTTAGAATTGATCTTTTTTCTTTTTCTTTCAAATATTCTTAATATAACTATGACAGAGTTCAGACAGCTCAGGAGTCACTCCCATGTTATCCGGATGCAAATGTTCAGTGTGTGCAGAGTACTTCAGTGCGGCTAAATGCTCTCGTACTTCTGTGGAGCATCAGAGGTCAGATCTGCAGCCTCAGGATGATGAACACACTCACTCTGCTGCTGGCTGCTCTCTCTCTGCCCTGTGAGTTCTCCTGCTTCTTCTCATTTAATCTTTTATCAGACAACTTCCACTGATGATCGGTGAGTGATACCAGAGAACGCCACACATGTGAGCATCTCACTTTTTCTCTTCTTTCATCTGATCAGGTTGCACAAGTCAGAGTATGGAGTCCATGCCTTCCAGTTCAGTCATGAAAAGGCCCGGGGAGACACTCAGTCTGTCCTGCAGGGGATCAGGCTTCACTTTCAACTGCTGTGTTATGAGCTGGATGAGACAACCTGCAGGAAAAGAACGGAAACGGCTATTCCAACCCAAGCAAGAACACTTATGCCAGCAGTGCGCGAGGCCGTGTAGAAATCAGCAGAGATGATAGCACAAGCATGGTGTATCTGAGACTGTCTAACTTGCAACCACAGGACTCTGCTGTGTATTACTGTGCCAGAGACACACTGGTTGAAGTGAGCAGAGAAGCTGTACAATAACCCCCTTACAAATTGCCTTTCAAAGACCTACAGGGGGCAGCAGAAGACTGGGGTCGGATGGCACAAAGGAGGAGAATGGAACGCACTCTTAAAAGCAGCATCTGTTTCAGTGGTTTGTGACTTCCTACATTCAACATAATGACATGCTTCTTAAAAAATAAATATTGTAAATAATGTTGTCATCACGTGTTTGTATCTTCAGCTGTTGATACAATGAAATAATGATAAATTCTTGGATTGCTATAGCCCGTTTTAAGGGATCCAAAGACGATTTATATGAGGACAGAACAAATACCACAGAAACAAAAGACAAAAAGAAGTGAATGAATAAGTTCTGCTCGACACACAGCGACACAGGAGGGAGCAAAAATAGCACTCCGTATTCCATAACTGTAGAATGAACTTCAGTTTGAAATAAAATCAATACAAGTTTTTGTGCAACTCTGATGTTCTTCTGAATGTAGTGAAAATACAATTACTGGAAACTTACGCTAAATGTGAAACTGCCTGTGCCACATAATGATGGAATATAACCATACACTCCACTGACAATAAGTATCAGGATAATTGGCCTCATTCACAAATAGCGCATACCAACAAATCTGTTCTTGAACTGTTTGTTTCAACGTTTGCCGCACAAATCTGAGACTCATCAATGTATTAGTTCTTGAATTTATTCTTACTCTGCAAACAAAGTAAGAAATCCTGAGACAATGCGTAGGCATTAATGATGAAGGCCTAGCTTTCTCAGATAAGCTAAAGCTAAAGCCTGGCTGAAAGAAATTGCAGCCCATGCCTTCAGAAGAGAGCGCATCAGACCGTCAAAACATGTTTGAAGAGTGTGAAGTACGACTTACCAACTGGTTCCGACTGCCAATGAATGTACATAATAGCTGTAACTTTGTAATTCACTGTAACGGCATCTATGGCCCCAGACCATAGACTGTAAATATTACTGGACGAACCCTGAGTGATGTCACCCGTCTGTTACGGAGGCATCAAATGAGTCTAATCGACGGGCGCATCCATATTGGATATGCTGTCTTAGTGGGGTCTCAACCTAACTTCAGATCAACCTAGCAACAGCATCAAGGCGGGACCCGGCGGGACTTAACTCCTCCCATTCAGATCGACGTTCCATTTCACATCAAAGCCAACAGCTAGGCTGCTATCATCCCCTAGTGCTTTCCTGCTCGTCCTGAGTTATCTCTATAAACAATAAGTTAACATTTAACTTTTCTACAACACAGTTAAAACGAATTATATTCAACCCAAATATTTAATTAAAATCTTAAAACTACACTTTGTTAAATATACAACTATGGTTATTAGTTATTTGTCAGAGCAGTTACTAGACTTTGTCCAGGTTAGCAGAGCAATACATTAGCAGTTTTATCATAAAATGTAAGAAACATTTTGAGGCTAATCTTTACATTTAAATTCACACATTGTGTTACAAATCATTACTTGGGTGTAAGAACATGTTGAAGGATAAGAAGTCTGTTTAAAACGATAAAAAACAGAGCTTTGGTGTCTTTTTTCTCTTCGTTGTTGTTGATAAAACTACTGTTAGACCATAGACTCTAAATAAATATGTAAGACATCCAGAAGAAATCAATATTACAAAGCATACAGTTCATGTTACTGTCCTGACAAAGAGGAACATCTGTGTCTTATATTTACTGATGTCAACAGCAATGACGGTGAACATGACAATTGAAAAATCATTATTTAGTATTTATTATAAGACATTTGTTTTCTATAGAACCCTGTGAAGTCATGGAGTCTGTGGACAGTGTCAGCTTCACACCAAAAACTTTAAGTATTAGAAAAAATAGTGTCTAAGACTGGCATCTATTATTATGAGTTGCAGCTACCTTGTTCAATATTATTCCTGCAGATGTGGCTAATAACAAAAAAACACCCTGAGCTGTCACATGTACTTAACTGTCCATGTTGTCTTGTCTGAGGCATTAATTGAACACCTTTGTATTTCTCCTATAGACATAGTGTGGATTATTGGTGGCTGGTCCGTCGAGGTGCCCAGAGAGCTGCAGAGACAGAGGAAGAAACCTGAGCCTCAACAACATCTGTATTTGTTGGTTCTTCTGGGGTGGACTTCAGTTGCTTCTCTTCAACAACTCGCTGCGAGGGAGGTCTCCCCCGGATGGCCTGAGTGATGTCACCCACATGTTCCTGCATCGATGGCGGTCTCCATGCTTGAAATGCTGTCTCACCCTTACCTTCATTCAACCTAGCGACAGGCTGAGAGCTGGAGCTGAGGCGGGTTTTAAGACTCCTGACAAACCGGTACACCGCGCCCGCCTGTCGATCATGTCAACTACATGCCTTATTGTGAATAACTCTTATCCTTCATCAAATCAAAACTGATGAGTCATCAAAACATTCACCCCTGTACAGTGTGTGTCGATAGAGACATGAGCTAATCACACCTATTTGTTTTTTTGTACCAGGTACATCTCTGCTGTAAAAACAGACTTTTTTAGAATGTTGTTTTTCAGATTAAATAAATATTTCTATATAAATGGACTCCTTTGTCTCTACAGTATACATTTCAGATTAGAAATGACAAGACTAAATTGTGCATTATTGCTCAACTCAATAGCTAAGGGAAGGAATCTACTTTTACACAACTTTGTCTTCTCTTGACATTTTTTTTTTTTTACCAAATACTAATGTAGTTCATTTCTGAAAATGGGATGGAACAGAGTTATTGCAAAAAATATGCCCTTAAACACAGCCCCACTCTTAAATCAAGATACATGGAGAGTAAATAAGATCAATAACTTGTGAATAAAAACACAGTTAAAAATGATTTAGAAATTTAGTCTTCCCATATCAATATCACATAATATCAACTTCTCCCATCTAAACTGGACAAAGGGTTTTAAAATGGGAAGAAAATGGTTTGATTGCAAGTTGTTTGGAGGAGATCTATTTCTATTTGAACAGCATGAATACAGTCTTCCAAGGTGCAAACCCTCCTTCTCCTGAAGCCTTGATGTACTGCTGTCTTAACCCTCCTTCTCCTGAAGCCTTGATGTACTGCTGTCTTAACCCTCCTTCTCCTGAAGCCTTGATTTGCTGCTGTCTTAACCCTCCTTCTCCTGAAGCCTTGATGTACTGCTGTCTTATCTGCTGGCCATCTTCTCTCACCAGAACTTCGACTGTTGAAAAGTCATTCAGAAGAAGCTCGAACATGTGACATGGATCCAGGAGAACATGGACTTTTAGTGAGGGGTCTTCAGGATGGCAAAGAAAGAGAGAAAATATCAGTTATTCATTAAATCAATTTGTTTGTGCATTTTCTGTATTCATCTGTGTGTAAGAGCACATTTATAAATTCAACAGTGTACTACCCAGACAACAAAGGTACAGTATTCAGGTAATCAACATCTATTTAAAGTTAAGAAGATAAACCTTATTGTAATCATGCTATTTTCAGCTCTCTCACTCACTTGCACAATGATATTCCACATCAATGTATAACATTCATCATAACGTAAGATAACCATATTTACAGTCTGCAGTTAACCACCGAGCTGAACCTTTAGTTTTATCACACAAACTCTGTCTTACAACATCTTAACAACTAAAATTTCTAACACTTCAGAATTACATTTTCCCCCAGTTTAATAGTGCTGGCTGGCTATGTTGCCATTAGCTTCTTTGGCATGAATGGGAGTCTTGATCGGCTAAACCATTGACTGTAAATAATGGACTACACTGAGTACAGTTAGCCGACTGGTTTACACGCTAACGCTAAACAAGCTAGGTCCGTAACTATAAATACCGACACATGAGTAAGCAGTAAATATAACACTACTATATCACTTACTGAAAATAACTGAAGCATCAACTTGTTGGATGGTCTGTTAACCGCACAGCAAGCCATGTATGTTGTCAGATATGTGTTAAACAAACTCTCCAAACGAAGTAAAAAAGAGGAGAAATCAGACGGATCAAGCTGTTAGCCTCCTGACCTGCTGACCGCGCAGAGCTGTCAATCAAATCTGCCACAACCCTTATATGGGCATATTCATTTTCCTTAATAAAATCAAATCCGATGAGTTATAAAAAATTCCCACAGTGTGAGGAAATGGGGTCGTCAACTTATCAGATATATCTCGTTTTTTGAACCAGGCTGTAAACATGTTAATTCCTGTGGTAAAAACTGGCTTTTTTGACTGTGGGCTTCCGGTGCTTCTGGAGCCAGCCTCAAGCGGACATTTGACGAACTGCAGATTTTTTTTACTTCCGCATTGGCTTCATTTTTCGAGACAGGAGGTTGCCCCAGACACATCGCTCTTTTTTGCCCTTTGGGTTCATCTCTACCAACATGTGCGTATCTGCACCTCACCGTTCTCCTCCTGATACACCAATTGGATGACATTATTTGGAGAGATGGGGGCGTGGTAGTATGCTGATTCCTGAATCAGAATGAACGATTCTGATTCACTAACATACGCAGAGTGGTGAGAACAAAATTATGAAGGTAGATATGTTGCAAAATGTGAGAGCTTGTAGAATGTGATGTGAGAGCTTGTAGAATGTGATGTGAGAGCTTGTAGAATGTGATGAGAACTTGTAGAATGTGATGAGAGAGCTTGTAGAATGTGATGAGAACTTGTAGAATGTGATGTGAGAGATTGTAGAATGTGATGTGAGAACTTGTAGAATGTGATGAGAACTTGTAGAATGTGATGTGAGAGCTTGTAGAATGTGATGAGAACTTGTAGAATGTGATGAGAACTTGTAGAATGTGATGTGAGAACTTGTAGAATGTGATGTGAGAGCTTGTAGAATGTGATGAGAACTTGTAGAATGTGATGAGAACTTGTAGAATGTGAT